GCTGGTAGAAGATCTAATTCTGGGTCTTTTTAAAGATTTTGGTTCCATGAGATCCCCATAAATGGCTTACTTCAATAGTAACAATACTTAAGCTCAAGTTGATAGCAAAATTATACGAAAGCTAAGCATATAATTTGAGAAATGTTTAGTTCGTTATGGAGGTCAGTCAACACACGTCCTTACAGTTCCGCCCTCAACGCCATTTTGCATTTCTTACTTTTAACTTGCGATACAATAACCCGCACTATGAACATAATTACGCAACAGTTTAAACAATTTCAGTGGCCGCTCAGATTGCGTTAAAACGTACATTTTTAAAGATAGAAAATCAATATCACCCAGACACTAAGGATTAGAAAAACGAAAATAAAAGTATGTTGAATTATAGAAATTCTAAATTTAAAACCTTGTCTGTAAAACAAACTCCAAAATCTTCCAAGTTGTAGAGCTTCTCATATGGGATTGGAAATAAACCTAGTATGTTTAGTACAATGAAAATGTACAGTTTATAATAGTGATTTCATAATACAAAACAAAAACTGAAACAAATATAATTGAACAGTTTGTTAAACTGATATACAGTTATGTCGCTAGCTGGTTTTAGTATTTAGTAATGCTGTTCATAAAAAGCTTATGACCGTGGCATAAAAACACTTTACTATCAAGTGTGGACGAGTGTCCAGTTGCGTTTTTCACTGGCTAAAAAACTAAATCGGACGTTTGTGAGGACGAAGCTTCATCTCGGCACGAATGTTGCCGAACATGCAAGAGACAGTCTGCATTTCAAATGAAATCGTTATGGCATTAGTAATTATGCATTACAAAACTAGCCTTTCACGTCCGTCAAAAACAGTCTTAAAATACTACAAAGTTGACTACCACACGTCAAAAATTACTACGCAGTAAATAAAACTATCAGACAAAGAGTTTGAAAACTTTTAGCCAAGGAGACTTCAATATTTCAGAGGCTGCGATATTAAATGACGGGCCAGACTGGCGAATATACGAAATATTTGAAAATAGCTCGTGGAATTTTACTTAGTATTATATCACCAACTTGTTATTGTCGACCAATGGGAAAATAGTTCTAAGGATACAATAAATTATTGACCTTTTTACATTTCGAACGCTCGACAGCTTGAAGTTGGTTAGTTTAATTTTGGTCAAATTGTGACTATCCAACACATCGCCAATTTCATGATTATATGCATTACGTGAATGGCATTGGAAAATTTCCGTGGGCAGACCGGGTCTGCGATAGTTGTACGTAGACATGTCAGGTTAAACTTTCCGCAACACACTGATAAAGCATTTCCAGAGTTGTATTTCACACGCGATTACACGCATGGTTGCGAGGGGAAAACAATCAGTGAGACTAGCATGCGGGGCGTGTGATCGAAAGTGCACCAATGAAGACTTCGTTCAGGAGATTGACTGGATGTTGTCTTTAATACACTACTTGCAACGATCTCGCATTTGATAAAAATGATTCCATAATAAAATCTTAAAATTTTTATTGTCAATAAATTAAAAATAAAATATATAGAAAATAAAAATTACGTATACAGTGACGAAAAAAATATATAAATGCAAGGGTTGGATTATCGGTTTTGAATTTACAACGACTTTCCACAATCTAATAGTGACATGCGGCATCGATCAACGACACCCATTATTAAAAGTATTGATATGGGGAGGATGTAGGCACCAGGACAACATCCTCACCCAAACGCCACCGAGTTTCATCTGATTGATCTTGCCAGCATGGACAGCTTCGCCTCTGGAACTGTCTTTGCGTTCGCGGACTTGTTTAATTTTTGCTTAGCTTTAAAACAATTCCATATCTGTAAAGTTTCGTCTGCCCCTGCTGTCATTACGTTCTCCTCGTCAGGTGACTGAGTCATTGCCAGAATTCGGCTCACATGACCTGTTAAAACATACAAAAACAATATTACGACAGGTGTGGCGTGCTGATAATCACAAGACCACGCCCACGCCCACGCCCACGCCCACGCCCAAGACCAAGACCAAGACCACACCACACCCCACGTTGTTCACTGGTTTATGACCGCAGTATGGTACGACGACCAACAACATGTGCCAAAATTACTAAATGAAAAATAAAACCCCCCAAAAAAGTCTACAAAAGACCATTGGTTTTTCTTAAATATTAACTCCTTGATAATGGAAGCGAGTTTACCCTGTATTTTCAGAACGAACATTTTAACTGACAAATTTCACAGTTATACTGAAATCGCACGGTTTCCTCAGTTACCGGATTGTTCATAACCAAATATTAACGAACCTTTGAGATCAGCGACTTTTTTCATAGATGGATATTTCCATATAGCCAAGTGATAGGCAGAGTAACCATGTCCAGATATAAGTTCTTTGTATTCTTGCGACCACAAGATGCCAGATACCTGGAAATAGACACGAGTTGAGTGCCAATCGACTTTGATACAAATGTACGAAAATAAAAACACTCAAGATATGCACGTTAACTTCAATACCTGCGAACCAGTGTCAATTGTGTTTAAGCAGAGCCCCGTGTTCACATTCCAGAATCGGATAGTTCTATCTGCAATGCCAGCCCCACTGGCAAGAACGCTCTGTTGCCATGGACACCATGAAAGCGCCTACACCACAGGTCATGGAATTAAACAATAATAGAATGTTAATGAGCATTAATAACGATAAAAACTACTCGATTCAGGTACTCCATGCTGAAGAGGGTGGTAGTGGGGAAAGGGGATGGGAAGGAGGGGGAGGGGAGGGGAGGGGAAGGGGGCAACAGCTCTTACCTTGACAGCAGCCATATGGTGAGAGAAAGAATACAGTGGTGAACCGCTCATATTAGAAGCGTCCCAGATATTTATTATATTGTCGTTACCCCCACTGGCAAGGTATTCTCCCGATTGACTCCATGCAAGACCACATACTTCCTGTTCGTGGTTGACCCATGACCCCACGTGATGTTCTGCTACTCTGACATCGTGATTATGGATACTACCACTTGCAGAGGGCCACTGAAAAAAAAAACATGAAGTCACAATAAGGTATCG